AAGTTCCCAGAAGTTTACTCCTGGGCATGATTTTGAATGCCTGGAGCCAACTGTAGGCCACTTCGTGTTCTTTTAGTTCCCAGAGCTCCATTCCTGGGCCACATTTTGAATGCTGAGGCAGGCTGATGCTGCGGCCGAGGCAGGCTGAGGCTGAGGCAGGCTGAGGCTGAGGCCGAGGCTGAAGGCAGACTGAGGCTGAGGCTGAAGCAGGCTGAGGCTGAGGCTGAGGCAGGCTGAGGCTGAGGCTGAGGCAGGCTGATGCTGAGGCAGGCTGAGGCTGAGGCTGAGGCTGATGCAGGCTGAGGCTGAGGCAGGCTGAGGCTGAGGCCGAGGCTGAAGGCAGACTGAGGCTGAGGCTGAAGCAGGCTGAGGCTGAGGCTGAGGCAGGCTGAGGCTGAGGCAGGCTGAGGCTGAGGCTGAGGCAGGCTGAGGCTGAGGCTGTGACTGCGACTGCCGTTGCCGCTGCGACTGTCATCGCGAATGCGACTACGACTGCGAGAACAGCAGAATTCTACAACTGGATTTTCATCTGAATCTTAAGGGGAATGCTTTCAGATATGCTTCTACACATCGCTGTTAGGTTGCTTTGCCGGGATAATTTTTTTGTCAGGGATGGTGGGGGGAGGCCGCGTCGGGTCCGCTGCGCATGATCCGAATTTGGAGGCAGAGTGTGTTTTGCATTTTACCTAACAGCGAAGACTGATAGGTTTCTAGTAGTCTCAAAAGAGAGCAGCAGATGACTCCACAGGGGGGTCTGGGCGGGTGCCGGACAGGGTGCCGCAGAAGTCGTTTTAAAACAGTCACACACTTCGTTCTCTTCGACCTCCCAGAACTCCATTCCCGGGCCACATTCTGAATGCCCGAAGCCAACTGTAGGCCACTTCGTTCTCTTCGACTTCCCACAACTCCATTCCCGGGCCACATTTTGAATGCCCGGAGCCAACTGTAGGCCACTTCGTGCTCTTCGAGTCCCCAGAACTCCATTCCCGGGCCACATTTTGAATGCCCGGAGCCCACTGTAGGCCATTTCGTGCTTTTCGATTCCCCAGAACTCCATTCCCGGGCCACATTTTGAATGCCCGGAGCCAACTGTAGGCCACTTCGTGCTCTTCGATTCCCCAGAACTCGATTCCCGGGCCACATTTTGTATGCCTGGAGCCAACTGTAGGCCACTTCGTGCTCTTCAAGTTCCCAGAACTCCATTCCTGGGCATGATTTTGAATGCCCGGAGCCCACTGTAGGCCACTTCGTGTTCTTCTAGTTCCCAGAAGTCCATTCCTGGGCCACATTTTGAATGCTGAGGCAGGCTGATGCTGCGGCCGAGGCAGGCTGAGGCTGAGGCAGGCTGAGGCTGAGGCCGAGGCTGAAGGCAGACTGAGGCTGAGGCTGAAGCAAACTGAGGCTGAGGCTGAGGCAGGCTGAGGCTGAGGCTGAGGCAGGCTGATGCTGAGGCAGGCTGAGGCTGAGGCTGAGGCTGATGCAGGCTGAGGCTGAGGCAGGCTGAGGCTGAGGCCGAGGCTGAAGGCAGACTGAGGCTGAGGCTGAAGCAGGCTGAGGCTGAGGCTGAGGCAGGCTGAGGCTGAGGCAGGCTGAGGCTGAGGCTGAGGCAGGCTGAGGCTGAGGCTGTGACTGCGACTGCCGTTGCCGCTGCGACTGTCATCGCGAATGCGACTACGACTGCGAGAACAGCAGAATTCTACAACTGGATTTTCGTCTGAATCTTCAGGGGAATGCTTTCATATATGCTTCTACACATCGCTGTTAGGTTGCTTTGCCGGGATAATTTTACAACGGATGGTGGGGGGGCCACATTGTTTCTGGTTGGCTGCCACTCGCCTGGGGGAAGGGGTGTCCATTAATAGAGAGCAGTGATCAAGACGCCCTCCCCGCCCGCAAGCCGTCACGTTCACTCCCACCTGCCCTCCCGACACATACGTAACACCCGAGCCTGGCCCCAACCTGAGCATGTTCATGGATGGGCAGCTACTGGGGGCCAATCCGCCGCCGCCGCCGCCGCCGCCGCCGCCGCCCCTGCTGCCAAATTGCCGCAGCCGCTGCCGCTGCCGCCGCAGCCGCTGCCGCCGCAGCCGCTGCCGCCACCGCCACCGCCGCCGCCGGGTCCACCGCCGCCGCCGCCGCCGCCGCCGCAGCCGCCGCCGCCGCCGCCGCCACCGCCGCCGCCGCCGCCCCCGCCGCCGCCGCCGCCACCGCCGCCGCCGCCGCCACCGCAGCCGCCGCAGCCGCTGCCGCCGCCTCAGCCGCCGCAGCCGCCAAGTGTACCCCCCATCGTTTTTCGACGGATGGTGGGGGGAGGCCGCATCGGGTTGGTTGCGCGTGCTCCGAATTTGGAGGCGGAGTATGGTTTGTATGGTTTTTACAAGGGGCGGTGGGGGGGCTCATGGTTCCGGGTTGGCAACACGTCGCTTGGGGTATGGGGTGTTTCCTAATAGGGAACAGTGATAAACCCTTCTCCGAAGGGGAAGAGGGTTTTGTGGAAGAGGAAAGAACAACATCGTTAGACCACCTGCGCACAGAGGGCTGGTGAGATTTAGTCCGGAATCGCCCTCTCTCTCTCCAGAGTGCCTCGCAGTTCGTCCAAACATCTTCCACTATTCGTGCCCTTGCTGTTCAGTAATTGTGCTCTCGCCTGGGACCTCCTCGCAATTATTCAGGAATCGCGATCTCGCTAGCCTGTTCGGTTGCGCTTGGTCGGTTCGGTTCGAAGTGCTGTCATGCCGTTCCTGTCTGTCTCGGTTTCGCTGTCGATCCGGTTTGTTCTCGGCTGTGCTGTCGCCGTGGACGGCCCAGGGGCAGGCGTGCCGTCCTCTCCCGCCTCCCCCCCCCGCCAGCCAGGAGCAGTGGCAAGGGGGGTAGCAGTAGTTGGAGGCGGCGGGCGCGGATGGCGTTGAGGGGTGCAGGGGCGAGAGAGAGAGAGAGAGAGAGAAATTGTGGGAGGCAGGGGCGGGGGGGAGGACGAGGAGGAGGAGGGAGAGGAGGAGGAGGAGGAGGAGGAGGAGGAGGAGGAGGAGGAGGACAAGAAGGATGAGCATGACATGACGACGACGATGACGACGACGACGACCACGGCCACGACCACGACCAAGACCACGACGATACTAACGATTGTGGTGGTGGTGATGATGAGGGTGATGATGATGTTTATGATGATGGCGATGACGATGTTGATGCTGGTGCTGCTGATGTTGCTGATGCCGACGATGATGCTGCTGCTGATGCAGATATTGATGCTGATTTGGATGACGATGACGATGATGGTTGTGGTGTTGATGGTGATGGTGACAGTGATGATGATGATGATGATGCTGATAATAATGCTGATGATGCTAATTACAATGCTGATGACGATGGTGATGATAGGGATGATGGTGATGCTAATGATGATGACGATCATGATGATGATTATGATGCTGCTGATGATGATGATGATGATGATGATGCTGATGCCGATGATGCCGATGATGGCGATGCCGATAAGGCTGCTGACTCTGGTGGTGTGTATGGCGGTGGTGAGGACGATTCCGTGGACGGCGATGAAGGTGACCGTATCGATGATGATCATGCTCTTGGTATTGATGATGGTGCTGGATGAGGACGATGGTGCTGATGATGATGATCCTGATGATGGTTAGTCGGATGACGATGATGATGATGATGATGATGATGATGATGCTGATGCTGATGCTCATGCTGCTGATGCTGATGATGACGATGAGGATGATGCTGGCGATATTGATGCTGATGATGGTACTGATGATGCTGATGGTGCTGATGGTGCTGATGATGATGATAATGGCGACGACGACGATGATGGAGATGGTGATGGTGATGGTGGTGGTGGTGATTATGCTGGTAATGATGATGCTATTGATGGTGAGTGTGCGGAAGGTACTGATGGTGATGCTGATGATGATGCTGCTGATGCTTATTCGGATGGTGATGACGATGATGATGCTGATGCTCATGCTGATGATGCTGATGATGAATATGATGATGCTGGCGATGATGATGCTGATGATGCTACTGATGATGCTGATGGTGCTCATGTTGATGACGATGATGACGCTGATGATGGCGATGGTGATGGTGGTGGTGGTAGTGATGCTGGTGATGACGATGCTGATGCTGGTGAGTGTCAGGAAGATACTGATGGTGATGCTGATGAGGATGATGATGATGATGACGATGATTATGGTGATGATCATGATGATGATAATGATGATGGTGCTGATGGTGCTGCTGATGATGATGCTGATGATGATTATGATGCTGGTGCTGATGATGATGCTGCTAATGATAATTGTGACAGTGATTGTGATGGTGATGGTGATGGTGGTGATGAGTTTGGCGATGTTGATGATGAGGATGATTCTGATGACGATGATGTTGATGATGCTGATGATGATGATTGTGATGAGGATGAGGATGAGGATGAGGATGAGGATGAGGATTTAGATCAGGATGATAAGCATGGTGATGGTGGTTGTGATGCTTCTGCTGGTGATGATGACCATGATGATGACGCTGATAATGATGATGATGAGGACGATGCTGATGATTGTGATGATGATTATGATGATGCAGATGACGATGATGACGATGATGACGATGATGATGATGATGATGATGATGATGATGATGATGGTGATGATGATGATGATGATGATGATGATGATGATGATGATAGTGATGATGAGGATGATGATGATGAGGAGGAGGAGGAGGAGGAGGAGGAGAAGGAGGATGAGGAGGATGATGATGCACGATAATATCAAGGAACATCAGTTAGGACAATTAGAGGAAAGGCCGAGAGGGAGGGGAAGAAGTCAACGAAAGAGGAGGAACGGCTGAGAGGGAGGGGGAGAGAGAAACGAATGAGAAGGTAGACGAGGTTGAGGAGGAAGGCAATGACGACGACGTCGACGACAAAGACCACGACGACAAGGACCACGACGAGCATCGTCCAGCCCAACCGCGGAGAGGCCTGGATGCAGGCCGCCGCGTCCGAGCAGGAGAAGGAGCTGCCGCCGCTCCCCCGACCGAGCGCGGCCCGCCTTCCCTGGAGAGGCCGCTGCCGTCGCTTCCGCCGCCGCCCTCGCCGGCGGCCCCGGAGAAGCCTCGCGGGGGGCCTCCAAGCACACGCAACACAATGGCTTTCCCCAGTCAGGCTTGCCTCAAGGTCCCTTACACTGGAGGCCCATGCCAAGAAACATCCTGCTTGCCTCCAGGGTGCCCTGGTTTTCTTGGGTTTCGATGGTCTTGCTGTTGAAGGCGTGATGCTCCCATACCAAAAATCGATGGACGCGCGTATATTTATATGTGCACATATGTTAATCGAGGCCCTACCCGTTTTGGAACAAGACAAAGCCTGGGATGGCCAGCGCGCCTCGGGGCTCCTTGGCCTTGTGTCTCTGCTGTGGCGTTCCTCGGCGTACCTTGGTCCTGTTTCCGGAAACGGCGTTCTCGGGGTGGCTCGGTGTCGTTTCATTGCGTTGGCCTTCCCCAGCATCACCACACAGCTCCAAATCGTACCAAGCTGGTTTCCAAGCGCTGTCGAGCAATGCTAAGCAACGCCAACCAACGCCAAGCATTGCCAAGCAACGCACACGAGCTCCAAGCAGTGCAAGGAACCGCCAAGCAACGCCAAGTAATGTGTCCATGTAGTGGGAAGCTGTCTTCTAAGTGGGCTTGCGACAGGTTCATTCTCTGGATCACGACGATGCAGTCGGCTGCGACGCACGCCGCGTTCGGCGGCTCTCGGACCTAAAGGCTTATCAGCTCAACTCGGAGAGGCACTCGCACAGGCCAGGGACTCGGCCTGGAGGCATTCGGGAGGCTGTCAGGCTGTCAGGAGGCACCAGGAAGCCGCAAGCAACCACTGCAGATCCCGTGTAGGCCGTTGGAGACTCTGGGGAAGTTAGTCTTTCGGCAGGCATTGGAGAGCCGTGGTAGGAGCCGTGAGGCTTCGGGATGCTCTTGGGATCATTGCGAAGCCCCCGCAGGCCCGTGGAGGCCCCGAGAGGTCCCTGGAGGCATTGGGAAAGAGACCGCTCACCATCCTGCTGAGATCCAGTCGCTTTTTGCTCCCAAATGCCGCGCATCCCATGCCACAAGTGAAAAAAGTGACCTCCCAGTAGGTATCCACCCGGGGAGCAGTGCCAGCAGCAAGGAGGGGGGTGGGGAGTACTCGAACACGTGCCTTGTTTTCTGTACATCGAGATATATTGCCTCTGTGGTTGGCTCTAGCTGTCCTCCATTTCCCCTTTGCCCCGCCCTCGGCGGAGGAGGAGGAGGATGAGGAGGCGGCGGAGAAGGAGGAGCGTTCCTGCTGTCTTGCTCCATTGATATCCAAGCGGACGGACCGAGCACTCGCTGGTACCGCGGAGCCTGGGCAAAGAGTTCGGATCGAGGAGGGCCGATGCCCAGAATGTGTCCTGAGACCTGAAAGCTCCATGCTCGTCCTAGCTCGTCCTCCTTCCCCCCGCCTCCTCCCCTTCAAGGGCGACCGCAGGACATGTCCTGGAGGGAGTTCTTACTTGAATCCCGCGGCGAATGCAGCTGTGGCGACGATGAGGATTCGGATGCCCCCACAAAGGAAGAGGGAGGGGAAGAGGAGGGAGATGAGGGGGAGCAGGGAGACGATGATGGTGATGATGATGCTGATGATGATCATTATGATGATGATTCTGAAAATGATGATGATGACGATGATGATGATGATGATGATGATGATGATGATGATGATGATGAGGATGATGATGATGATGTTGATGATGCTGATGCTGATGATGCTGATGCTGGCGATGATGCTGTTGATGGTGATGGTGATGGTGATGATGACGATGGTGAAGATGAGGATGACGATGGTGGTGTTGGTGGTGATGACGATGATTCTGACTAGTGTCATGATGATGGTGATGGTGATGCTGATGATGCTGCTGATGATGTTGATTCTGATGGTGATGCTGATTGTGCTGATGCTGCTGGCGGTGCTGATGATGCCGTTGATGATGCTGAAGCGGATGCTGCTATGATGATGGTGTTGCTGACGATGATGTTGATGATGAGGTTGATGACGATGATGTTAATGCCGATGTTGATGCTAAGAATGATGGTGCTGATGGTGGTGATAGTTTTAGTGGTGGTGGTGCGGATGAGGGGAGGACGAGGGCGAGGACGAGGATGAGGCTGCTGCCGATGCTGATGATGACGTTGATGACGACGCCGCTGTTGATGATGATGATGCTGCTGATGATGACGACGACGATGACGACGACAATGATGATAATGATGATGATAATGATCATGATGATGATGATGATGATGATGATGATGATGATGATGATGATGCTGATGCTGATGCTGATGCTGATGATGATGATGATGATGATGATGCTGATGATGATGATGATGATGGTGGTGGTGACTGTGGCAGTTTTAGCGATGGTGGTGGTGAGGATGGGGCGAGGACGAGGACGAGGACGAGGATGAGGATGCTGCTGCTGCTGATGATGCTAGTGATGATATTGATACCGATGATGATAGTGATGATGTAGATGATGATGATGATGATGATGATGATGATGATGATGATGATGATGATGATGATGATGATGATGATGGTGATGGTGATGGTGATGGTGATGGTGATGGTGATGATGATGATGATGATGATGATGATGATGATGATGATGATGCTGATGACGATGATGATGACGATGCCGATGACGAGGAGGAGGAGGAGTAGGAGGAGGAGGAGGAGGAGGTTGAGGAGGAGGAGGAGGATGGTGATCGCCCCCACATGAAACTCGCGCAGTTCACACTGTCCACGCGCAACAGCTGGCGGGAAGGGGGCAGCAGGCTTCCTGCCACCCGACCTTCAGTAGCGATCGAGCGCTTAGAACCGTTGCTCATGAGGCCTTACCGCAGCAGCCATGCTACTTCTCCGGCCTGTAGTTCACCCCTCTGGAGGGGTGCCCGTGCTCAGTGATGATTGTGTTGATGTTAATGATGATGACGGTGACGAAATTGATAATGACGACAATGACAATGATAATGATGATGATGTTGCTGTTGATGATGATGCTAATGATACCGCTGTTATTAATGTTGAGGATGGTGATGATGACGATGATGCGGCTAATGATGATGATGATGCCTGCGGTGACGATTCTGATAATGCTGATTGTGTGGTGATAACGGCGACAACGTCCATGATGATGATGATGATGCTGATGAGGCTACTGCTGCTGCTGCTGATGATGATGTTGGTACCGGCAATGATGATTATGATGATTATGATTGAGATGATGATGGTGGTGGTGATGATGAAGTTGATCAATCATCATGATGATGGGAGGAGGAGAACGAGGACGCTGGTTATTTGTACTACTACCATTTCTTGTTATTCTGATGACGGCCGCGATGATGATACTGATAAGAATGGCGCTAACAATGATGCTGATGATGACGGTAATGATGATGGTGCTGATGATGATGACGATGGTGGTGTTGGTGGTGATGACGATGATGATGATGGCGATTCGTCTGGTGATGATGCTGATGATGATGGTGCTGATGATGCTGAGGATGATGGCGATTATGACGATCATGCTGTTATGATGCTGGTCATGGTGATGATGATGGTGACGATGGTGCTGGTGATGGTAATGGTGATGGTGCTGATGCTGATGATGATGCTGACGGTGATGATGATGCTTCTGATGATGGTGATGAGCATGATGCTGATGGTGTTGATGCTGATTCTGGGTATGGCAACGATGATGCTGAATAGTAATATGATGCTACTGATGATGACGCTGCTGTTGACGTTGACGATCATGACTATGTCGAGTAGGCGGAGGAGGAGGAGTAGGAGGAGAAGTAGGAGGAGGAGCAGGAGGCTGAGGAACCCTCCCCCTGAACCCTCCCTCCCCTCCCCCCCCTCCCACTGCCAGTGCGTCGCGCTGCCTGCCAGTCTTTCCCGAGTCTCGCGGCCGGGAAGGAGGCCGGCATGCCCCTGAACTTGTTGTTCCGGTGGGTCTGGCCCACGGTCGCGCGCCGCCGCGCCAAGGAGGGGGCTTTGAGCCCAGAGGGAGGAGGGAGGTCTTCCCTGCTCCTCCTCCCCTCCTCCTCCTCCTCCTCCTCCTCCTCCTCCTCTCCCTCCCTTACTCCCTCCTTCCTCCCTCTTCCTCCTCCCTCCGTCCTCCTTCACCCCTCTCTCCTTCATCGTTGTTCCTCTTCTTCTCTCTCCCTCCTCTTCCTCCTCCCTCCTCCTCCTCCTTGCTTGGTTATTTGTTCGCTTCGTTTGCATCAGCCTCAGTCAGGATCTGGGCGGCCGTGTGCCGGCTGAGATGAAAATGACAGCTTTTGGACACAGCGGTCCATGGCAATGGTCTCAGATGCGAACGACTCAGATTAATCTGGGCATGTCCCTCTGCAGGAGGCACATTCAAGAATGGTGAAAAAATAGTCAGGGGACGATTTTTCGGCTATTGTTGACTTTGTTTGAGCACTTTTTGACCAGGCTTGACTTTTCCTCCGCAATACTCCTCTCAGAGGACATGCCCGACCTCAGAATAGGACCCTGCAGGAATATGCCAGGCTGGCCGATCGGGGAACGAGTCGCGCGAGCGCCGATCACCGCAATTCCTTCCAGATGCCAGGCGGCGGCCGAGCACGAGTTGGCACGAGTCCCGCCGTCCACGTGCACCACCAGATCCTTCTCACGCTGGTCAAGCTCGGTATCTCCAAGCGCGGGAGATAGATTGATTCGCCGATTTTCTTCCACCGCTACCATAGGCAGGACGGGGGAGAAGGGAGGATGGGAAGGTCCTCCTCCTCCTCTCCTACCTATGGTAGCGGTCGTGGAAAATCGGCCCATCATAGATCATTTGTGCCAAGATAGTTTTTTGTCCATGTCGTGGTTTAGGAGGTGATCCGATGTCTTGTTCTATTCCCAGGGTCTCCACTGGACCGCGTTGCCAGCATCCTGGTCCTGGTCCGGTCTCCATCCGATGACGCATTTCGCACGAGCACGCCCACATAGTTCAGAGGAGTTAGAAGTTCCCCAACCAGAGCTTGCCTCCGTAAGGGTCCTAGCTCCAATCAGAGCTTGCCTCTGTAGGGGCCCTAGCGAATGGATATGGTTAGGTGAGGTTTGGCGCCAATTTCGGCGGCACGCCCGGATACCCGGGTGCCCGGGTGCCCAGGTGCCCGGGTTCCTTGGTGCCCGGGTGCCCAGATGCCCGGGTGCCCGGGTGCCAGGGCGTGTCGCGAGGGCCCGGGTGCCTGGGTGCCCGGGTGCCCGCCGGGTGCCCGGGTGCCCGGTGGCCTGGTAATTATTCCGGTAGCCTTCTAGCTATATCCCTTAAATCGCCTTATAGGCTAGCCTTAATAGCCCTGTAGCCCTATAGCCCTATTAGCCCTATTAGCCCTATTAGCCCTATAGCCCTATAGCCCTATAGCCCTATACCCCTATAGCCCAATCGCCCTATAGCCTTATAGCCCTATAGCCCTATAGCCCTATAGCCATATAGCCCTATAGCCCTATGGCCCTCATAGCCCTATGACCTATAACCCTATGGTCGTATAACCCTATAGCCCCATAGCCCTATAGCCCACCAACAAATTGGGGCTTTTCACCGGCTTCATATGGTTAGGTGAGGTTTGCCACCGATTTCCGCTGCCCGCCCAGGTGCCTGGGTGCTTGGGTGCACGGGTGCCCAGGTGCCCGTGTGTTCGGGTGCCCGGGTGCTTTATAGCCTTATAGCCATATAGCCCTATAGCCTCATAGTCCTATACCCCTATAACCCTTCAGGCCAATAGCCCTATAGCCTGATAGCCCTATCGCCCCATAGCCAAATAGCCCTATAGCGCTATAGCCTCATAGCCCTATCGCCCTAGTGCCGTAGAGCCCTGTAGCTCTATAACCCCATAGCCCTATAGCCCTATAGCTCTATTTCCTCTAGCCCAACAGCGCTATAGACCTATAGCCCGGTAGCGCTATAGCCCCGTAGCCCTATAGCCCAATAGCCCCATAGCCCTATAACACTATAGTCCTAGAGCCCTATATCCTTGTAGCCTTGTAGCCCTGTAGCCCTATAGCCCTAGATCCCTATAGCCCTATAGCTCTACATGCCTATAGCCCTATAGCTCTGTAACCCCATAGCCCTAGATCCATATAGCCCTATGGCCCTATGGTTCTATAGCCCCATATCCCTATAGACTCATAGGTTTATAGCCCTATAGCCCTATGGCCCCATAGCTTTAGAGCCCCAGCGCCCCCTAGCCCTACGGCCCTACAGCCCTATAGCCCTATGCCCCTATAGCTCTATAGCCCTACAGCCCTGTAGACCTATAGCCCTATGGCCCTATAGCCCAATAGTTCAATAGCCCTATGACCCCATAGCCCTATAACCCTAAAAAGACTTTGATTGTTTTTCGGGGTGCCATCAATAAAAGATGTTTTCCACTATTCCCACGTCGTTTAAGATTCCCCAGACTTCGTCACATTCCACACGGGCCGTTAGGTACTCTGGACATCCGGGAACGTATCCTGAGCCAACCCTATCATGACATCACGATCGTTCTAATAGTGCCCCACCGCTCATGACAGCTCTACACACGTGCAATGCCAGATACATGGTCCCATTACGATGCTCAAGCGTACGCTCCCTCCATGCTCCATTGAGTACTTCCCGCAGCACGCCAAGATGAAGTGGCTGTGGTCGTGTTGTTCGAAGCTAACTCTTGAGCAGCTTGAATGCCATGTCTTCGTTCCTCCTCCCTCATAATCCTTCTTCCTTCTCCTCTTTCCTTCTCCTTCTCCTCTTTCCTTCTCCTCCTTCTTCCTCCTCTTTCCTTCCGCCCCTTCCCTCCCGCTGATCCTCCTCTATCCTCGCTTCTTCTCCTTCTCCTCCCCCTTCTCCTCCTCCTCGTCCTCCTCCTCCTCCTCCTCCCCCTCCCTCCTCCCTCCTCCCACGTCAGTACTCCCTCGTCCCTCCCGCGCGTGCTTCCTCCGCGATACATGGTAATCCGACACTTTGGCAAACTTTTCGGCGAAGGTCCCATCTTCAAAAGGATCCGCCCTCCATCAGTGTAGCAGTTGCGCGCTTATGAGCTCCTGGCCATACTCTTCGAGGCAATCTCAAGTCATAGCCCTATTTTGAATAGGAGCCACGCTCCTCCCGTTTGACTGTTACACAATGTTCATTTTCTGGTCATGAAACCTGTGCGGCGAGAGCCACATTTAGAAAACACATCGACCTCCATCCGTGTAACAGTTTTAAGCTTTTCAGGCGGATGTGTTCGGGATCCAGCGTGAGACACATCAAGCAATGATGCGCACCTAGTATCACTGCCGAAAAACTCAAGCTTTCGTAGCACACATGACATGGCTCGAAAGTCCCCAGGTGGCGGATGAGAACCTCACCGCGATGCTCAGGTGGATCTACCTCTACGAGCTGGAAAGCGTTAGGCCAATGCGGCGCACCTCTTTCATCCCTCTTCCTTTCTTTCTGGCATCCGTCCTTCTTCCTTCCTCTCTCCTCTTCATGATGACGAGGAGGCTGAGGGGGACGAGGACGAGGATAAGGATCGACGTTCTTCTCGTTTTTGGCCCGTGTTTAGATCTGGATACCCCTGGATACCTCTTTTGATATCAGGATGCTTCGTGGGCCTCCTCATGCCCGTCCTCTTCCATGTCTCCTCCTCTTGGTACTCATACTGCCATGCATTCCCCATCCTTCTTCTCCTCCTTCTCCCACTTTTCGTATTCCTGCGCCTCCTCCAACCCCGCTGTCGCTCCTCCTGCTGCTCCTCCTTCCTGTCCCTGCTCATCCTGCTGCTCCTGAAGCTGCTGCTCCTTCTCCTCTTCCTGCTCCCAGTGCTCCTGCTCCTGCGCGTCCTATTCCTTCTCCTTCTTCTTGCTGCTGCTGTTGCTCTTCCTCTCATTCCGTTCCCCCCTCCTGCCCCTGGGAGGGAAGGGAATGACGGCAGCGGAGGACGGGATGGAGAAGTGGAGAAGGAGGCGACGACGAGGTGGGTTAGGAACACGATGATGAGGATAAGTTGGAGGGAGATCGGAGGAGGAGGAGGAGGAGAAGGAGGAGACGGGGGAGGATGGGATGACGAGGAGTATGAAGACGGAGGCAGAAGGAGGGTGCTGAGGGTGACGAGGGAGGTGAAGAGGAGGATGAGGAGGATACCCGAGGAGGAGGAGGAGGAGGAGGAGGAAGAGGAAACGGAGGAGGAAAAGGGAGGAAGGTTGGGATATTTTGAGGTAGAGGGCAATGAAGAATATGACGATGACGAAGATGAGGAGGAACATTGTGATGACGGGGAAGGTGGACGAGCAATGATGATGGGCATGCTGGTTGTATGTGTGATTCTTATGTTGTTGCTAATGATCGCGAATATAGGAACCGTATCAATACATACTAGCCTGAGTGCTAACTTGGCGACTCGCATTACCAGTGACACTTGGATGATATGGATCACGAGCAGGAGTAGGGGGAGGCGGAGGAGCAGGAGGAGGAGGAGGAGGCGGTACGAGGAAGAGACGGCATGGCTAAGGAGGTCGAGAGGGAGGAGGTGGATGGACGGAGCCGGGAAGAGCTTCCGCCCCATTCCTGCTGCCGCTCCTCGTCCCCCCTCCTCGTCCTCCTCCTCCTCCTTTGTTCTCCTCCTCTGTTCTCCTCCTCTGTTCTCCTCCTGCTTTCCATCCTTTTTCCAACCCTCCGCCTACCCCTCTACTTATCCACCATCCTCGCCCCCCCCCCCCCGCGCTCGTCCCCGTGGCCCTCTCCCTCCTGGTTCGTTCCTTCTCCCCACCCTTCCACACCCCTCGTGTCTCCTCGTCCTCCTCGTTCTACCCCCTTTTCGTCCTCCTCCTTCTTCCCCTCCCCCCCACCCTGCTCTCCTCCTGCTCCCCTCGTCCTTCTTCCACTCCCCCCCTGCTGGAGCCCCCCCCCCTCCTCCGAGTTCGCCTCTCCCCCCTCCCACTCCCTCTCTTCTCGCCCTCGTCCTCGTCGTCTTCGTTCTTGTCCTAGTCCTCGCCGTCCTGTTGCTCGCCCTCCGAGCCCGAGGCAGCCGACGCCGCAGGTCATCGACGCGCACGAGCGCAGGAGTGCCCGACAGCAAGGAGGGGGGAGGAGGGAGATCAAGGCGGGGAGGACCAGGACGAGGGAATAGGAGGAGGAGGAGGAGGAGGAGGAGGAGGAGGAGGAGGAGGAGGAATAGTTAACCATGATGATGATGATGATGATGATGATGATGATGATGATGATGATGATGATGATGATGATGCTGATGATGCTGATGATGATGATGACGATCATTATGATGATGATGCTGATGCTGATGATGCTGATGCTGATGCTGATGATGACCATGATGGTGATGCTGAGGATGACGAGGATTAAGATAACGACGGCGATGATGATGCTGCTGCTGATGATGATGATGGTGATGGTGGTGGTGTTGGTGGTGGTAGTGATTATGATGACGATGACGATGACGATGCTGATCGGAGGTTGGGGGGCGCGATCGAAGTGGAACGGAGAGCCCCCCTACCGGGAAATCGATTTCGGTTTCGTGTTCGTGCGTGCCGTGCGTGTGGGCAAGGCGAAGCTGCGTGGGCGGGCGAGAGGGAAGTCTCCTGTGGCTGGGGCACGGCCGGACCAAATGATTCCCTTCCGGCAACTGGTGGCGCGCGGTGTCCCGCCGGTGTCCCGCTGGCTGAGGCGCGGCTGGACCAAATGATTCCCTTCCGGCAACCGGTGGCGCGCGGTGTCCCGCCGGTGTCCCGCCGGTGTCCCGTCGGTGTCCCGATGATGACGGTGATGATGATGACGACGATGATGATGATTATGATGATGGTGATGATGGTGATGATGGTGATGATGAAGACGATGATGATGGTGATGATGGTGATGATGAAATGATGGTGATGATGGTGATGATGGTGATGATAGTGATTATGATGCTGATGATGGTGATGATGGTGATGATGGTGATGATGGTGACGATTGTGCTGATGATGATGATGATGATGACGTTGATGATGATGATGATGATGATGATGATGTTGATGGTGATGTTGATGTTGATGATGACGTCGATTGTGAGATCGATAGTGAGACCGAATGAGAGATCGGTTGTGAGATCGATAGTGAGATCGATTGTGAGATTGATCGTCAGATCGATTGTGAGATTGATCGAATGAGATCGATAGTGAGATCCTGTGTCCCGTCGGTGTCCCGATGAGAACGGTGATGATGACGATGATGATGACGATGATGATGATGATGAGGGTGATGATGGTGATGATGGTGATGATGATGATGATGATAACGATGATGATGACGTTGATGATGGTGACGATGGTGATGATGGTGATGATGGTGTTTCATGGTGATGATGCTGATGGTGATGATGGTGATGATGGTGATGATCGTGATGATGATGGTGGTGATGATGATGACGGTGATGAGGATGACGATGATGGTGATGTTGATGTTGATGTTGATGATGATCACGTCGATTGTGAGATCGATTGTGAGATCGATAGTGAGATCGATAGTCAGACCGAAGGAGCGATCGATCGATAGTGAGATCGATAGTGAGACCGAATGTAAGATCGATTGTTAGATCGATTGTGAGATCGATCGTGAGATCGATAGTGAGACCGAATGAGAGATCGATTGTGAGATCGAAAGTGAGATGGATTGTGAGATCGATAGTCAGATCGATTGTGAGATCGTGAGGTCAGTGGAGATCACACGTGCGTCGTCAGAACAACAATCACCACTGTTGCCCATTGCTCGGCTCCTCCCCCCCCCGCTCACCTCCTTATTACCCGCAGGGTGGTCGTATAGGTAATACTAGTGATGCTGCTGATGCTTGTGCTGATGCGGATGCTGGTGATGGTGCTGGTGATGCTGATGCTGATGCTGATGATGCTGCTGATGCTGATGCTGGTGATGGTGATGGTGATGGTGATTGTGATGGTGATGGTGACGATGCAGACGATGCTGTTCTAATGCTGATGGTGGCGATTCTGATGATGTTGCTTTCTACTGATGATTATTATGGTTGTGGTGGAGGTGGTGGTGGTGATGATAGTGGTGATGATGCTGCTGATGATGGCGATGATGCAACGGTCTGAATGCTGATGCTGATACTGCTGATGATGCGGATGATGATGCTGATGCTGATTATGATGATGAAGATGAAGATGATGACGCGGGTGATGACGCTGCTGATGATGATGACGATGGTGATTGTGATGGTGATGGTGATGTTGACGGTATTGATGCTGGTGACGATGTTGTTGATTATGATGATGACGACGACCATGATAATGATAATGATGATGATCATGATGATGATGATGATGCTCTTGCTCCTGATAATGATGCTGTTGATCATGATGACGATGATGATGGTGATGCTGCGGATGATGATGGTGATGATGATGATGATGATGATGATGATGGTGGTGATGATGATGGTGGTGGTGGTGGTCCTGGTGATGATGATGTTGCTGCTGGTGATTGTGATGACGATTCTGAGGATGATGTTGATGCTAATGATGATGATGATGCTGATGCTGCTGATGATGATGCTTATGATCATGATGCTATTGATGATGATGCTGATGATTATACTGATGATGATGCTGATGATGATGAATCGGAGGTGAGGGGGTGAGATCGAAGTGGAACGGAGAGACCCCCTACCGGGAAATCGATTTCGGTTTCGTGTTCGTGCGTGCCGTGCGTGCGGGCGAGGCGAAGCTGCGTGGGCGGGCGAGAGGGAAGTCTCCTGTGGGCGGCCGGACCAAATGTCTCCCTTCCGGCGTCCAGTGGCGCGCGGTGTCCCGCCGGTGTCCCGCTGTGGCTGAGGCGCGGCCAGACCAAATGTCTCCCTTCCGGCGTCCAGTGGCGCGCGGTGTCCCGCTGGTGTCCCGCCGGTGTCCCGTCGGTGTCCCGATGATGACGGTGATGATGATGATGACGATGATGAGATGATGATGATGATGATGATGATGATGATGATGATGATGATGATGATGATGATGATGATGATGGCCATGGTGGTGATGATGATGGTGTCCCGATGATGATGATGATGTTGGTGATGCTGATGTTGCTGATGATGATGGTGCCCCGATGATGATGATGATGATGATGATGATGATGATGATGATGGTGATGATGATGATGTTGACGATCATGATGATGTTAATGCTGATGATGAGATGATGAGATAATGATGATGATGAAGATGATGATGATGGTGTCAGGATGATGATGATGAGTTTGATGATGATGCTGTTGATGATGTTGATGGTGATGATAACGATGATGGTGTCCCGATGATGATGATGCTGATGTTGATGATGATGATGATGACTATGATGGTGTCTCGATGATGATGATGACGATGGGGATGATGATGATGATGAGGTGTTGATGATGATTTTGATGATGGTGGCCCGATGATGAAGGTGATGCAGATGTTGATGATGATTGTGTCCCAGTGGTGATGCTTCTCATGATGATGATGGTGACGATGATGATGTTGACCCGATGATGATGATGATGATGATGATGATGATGATGATGATGTTGATGGTGATGATGATGTTGCTGATGATGATGATGGTGTCCCTGTGGTGATGATGTTGATGATGTTATTCATGATGATGCGATGCTGATGATGGTGGTGTTTCGTTGATGATTATGGCGTCCCGATGATGATGATGATGATGATGATGATGATGCTGCTGATGATGCTGATGGTGACGATGATGGTGTCCCGATGATGATGATGATGATGATGATGACGATGATGATGATGATGATGATGATGATGACGATGATGATGATGATGGTGATGATGGTGATGATGATGATGCTGATGATGATGGTGATGAGGTGATGATGAGGATGGTGTCCCGATGATGAGGGTGATGCTGATGATGATGTTGATGTGATGACGATGATGTTGATGATGATGATGTTGACGTTGATTGTGAGATAGATTGTGATATCGATCCTGAGATCGATAGTAAGACCGAATGTGAGATATACATTGAGATCGATCGTGAGATCGATAGTGAGATCGATTGTGAGATCGATTGTTATCGATAGTTAGATCGTTTGTGAGATCGGTCGAATGAAATAGATCGAGGAAGATCGATCGAGTGAGATCGATCGAGTGAGATCGATCGAGTGAGACCGATAGTGAGATCGGTCGTGAGATTGTAAGTGAGACCGATCGAGTGAGACGTTGGTTCCTCCGCCCCCCCGAACCTCCTTATTACCCGAAGGGTGGTCGTATAGGTATTGTTATGATGATGCTTCTGATGATGATGCTGATGATGATGATGATGATGGTGATGGTGATGGTTATGGCGATGGTCATGGTGATGGTTGTGGTGTATGATAATATGGGTGATGTTGTTGTTGATGATGATGATGACGATGATGAGGAGGAGGAGGAGGAGGAGGAGGAGTATGAACAGAAGGAGGAAGAGGAACAGAAGGAGGAAGAGGAATAGGAGAAGGAGGAGGCGGAGGAGGAGGAGGCGGAGGCGGAACAGGAGGAGCAGGATGTGAGCAGTGAGGAAGGAGTTGGAATTGCGGCAGATGAGGAGGAGGCTAGCGGAAGAGGATCAGCGGGGACAGCTAGTTTAGAGGTTATGCTGGGGGTCGTGTGACAGCTGGAGCGGGAGCATAAGGGGAAGGCTGGAGGAGATGCCGGGAGATGCCGTGGAGACGAAGCGTCGTGCGCCCGTCTGCTATTGCTCGCGGCGCTCAGAGCGAGCGCGGCGCCACGAGGACCTCGCCCGCACGGCGCGTGGCCGCCGCCCCCGCGGGGCTCGCGCCAGCAGGCTGTCAGCCCTCGGTCTCGTCATCGGCCGATCGGCCAGCCAGCGCCGCGGGGCGCCCGACTGGGCGGCAGCCCGCTTTGGGCCACAGGCCACGGCCCAGGCGATCCAGGTAGACCTTGCCCGTGGCCGTCGGTGGCCGCCCCCGCGGGTTGGCAGTAGTCGGCGCCGCGGGGCAGGCTCCTCGGAGGCCATCGCCTAGCTGCCGACCGCCGGGGGGCGCGAAGA